GAATGGAGGAGAAGGGATTGTGGTATGGCCACCCTCCCCTGGGGGGTGATTTCTCACTTTCTGTCTCTCCGTCTCTCTCTTTTTCTGGTGAATGCACGTGCCCTACAGCAAAAACCAATAAAAAAAAGAAATTTAAAAAGTGGCCTCTGGGCCAGCAGGTGACATGGTAGTTAAGGCGCTGGGTCTCACATAGCCAACTGTACAGTTTGAGTCTCAGACCCAGAGGCTTGAAAAACATGCTGGGCATGTGTGCATATGTGCCCAAAGTCCTGAGCAGAAAATGAAAAGAACTGTGGTGTGACCATTCTCCCTGGGGGTGCTTTCTCACTCTTTCTAAGTGTACACACCCCTACAGCAAAAAGAAAAGGAAAACATAAAACTTAAAAACAAAAAAGTGGCCTCTGGTATCTATGTTGTAATCCTGGCTCTGTTGCTTGCTTGTTGGCAAGACCTTAACCAAGGTACTAAGTTTTTTTTTTTTTTTAGAGGTTTTCACTATAGGGCACGTGCGCTCGCCAGACAAACAGAGACAGACAGAGAGACAGAAAGCGAGAAATCACCCCCCAAGGGGGATGGTCACGCCGCAATCCCTTCTCCTCCATTCTCCTCTCGGGATCTTGGGCATGCACGCACACGCGACCGGCATGAGTTTTAAGCCACCGGGTCTGGGACATGAACCGTGGTCGACTACGTGGGAGTCTAGCAACATAGCCATTACGCTAACTGCTGGTTCCCAGGTACTAAGTTTTGAGAGCCTCGGCCTCTTCATCCATAAAGTGGCAGCACTTGTACCTGCCTCACCGCACTGGGTGGTTCTGAGGACAACCTGAAACAGTATTGCTGGCGGCACTCTGCAGAGTAGCACTCTGTAGCAACTCAACGGACAGGAGCTCTCTCTACTCCATCTTCTCCTCTCTCTCCTCCCCGCCTCCTTGGCATGTCTGTGCTTAATTAATTATCCACCAACGACCACTATCTACTCAGCTGGCAGTGAGACTGAGCCTCTGAAATGCAGATCTGTCATTGTCACTGAGGAGCTTAAATCCTTCCACAGTTGGCTGATGCCCTGAGCAGAACATCCAAATCCTTACCACAGCTCACCAGGCTCTTTTGGAGCGGCACCTGCCCCACATTCCCACCTCATCTCTCCCTCGCCTCCACCTCCCCTCACACACAGCACTCCAGCCCCACTGGCAGGCTTGTTTCCTGAGAGCTCCCCGCTTTCTACTACTTTAAGACCTTGGCAATTGCTATTTCCTCCATCTGGAATCTCTTCTCCCGACTCCTACCATCCATTCTACATTCTTCAGCAATCTGCTGTCAGAGGATTCTAGAGATGTTCCTTGCTAAGCCTGAGAGCAAATACGAACTATTCCCTCACCACTCCCCTCTCCCAAGCACTGTGCCAGCAGAGAACAGGCAAAAGACAAACATTGGTAGAACTGGCCATGGCAGTGCAGAGCCGTAAGCAGACAGCGCCACCTGTTGACCAAAACTTGTACTTCAAGACCTAGAAAAGACCTTGTCCTCTGCCAACTGCTAAGGAAACGGAGGACTGTTCCGAAGTTTTCCAGGAGGTCGAGCCAGCGTCTCTACCTGACACCAAACTTAGTGATGGAAAGAATGAATGCTGTCGGGCAGCGAATGCTATGCACTTTCCTAGGTGCCTTCGTTATCAATGTGTGTAATTTTCACAAGCACCCAAGGAAGTGGGTATCTTCTTTTTTTTGCGGGGGAGTGGGTGAGAGATTTTTGCAATAGGGCATGTGCGCTTGCCAGAGAGAAACAGACAGAAAGCAAAAAATACCCACTAGAGGAAATGGCCACGCCACAATCCCTTCTCTTCCATTCTCCTCTTGGGATCTTGGGCACGCACACACATGCACCAGGCTTGAGTTTTAAGTCATCAGATCTGGGACTCAAAACATGGTCAACTACGTGGGAGTCCAGCGACATAACCATTCCACCATCAGCTGGTCCCATCTTTATTGCCATGTTATGAGGTAATGGGCTTCCCCCACGCTCACACAGCTGAACCTGTCTAGTACGTCCCACACACGTTCAAATCTCACTGCCTCTCCTGTCTCTACTCATCTCCACTCATGTAGGAGTTACACCTGAGACACCTCCACCATGAAGGCCCACTTGCAGGTACTGCTATGACAGTGGCACCGCTGTCACCTGAAACCCCACATAGTGATCCCCACATCCAGGAAATTGCAGACCTCCCAGGGCAGTCCTCGGACAGGAATCAGGTTTGGCTCTTTCTGAGACAGCAAATGCAGCAGTCAGCCCCGTTATTGTGGGACCTCCAGAGAGCATCCACCCTGAGCTCACTTTTCTATAGGAATTTTAACCTATGTGGGTGTGGACTGGGTTATTTCATTAAGAGTATGGAGCAGCGTCTGAATAGGTGGACACTGAATGGTCGTTACCACTCAGTCCCTCCCTGATCACTTACCACGAGACTAGATCCCTTCACATAGCTTAAATACTGCCATTTAGAGCCAAGAGACTGGCTATGTGATTAAGTCACACCTACTTTTCGCCCTCTCATTTCTTTCCTTTTTTTGGGGGGGAGAGATTTTTGCTAAAGAGCACAGGCACTCGCCAGAGAGACTGAGACAGAGAGAAATCACCCTCCAGGAGGGATGGCCATACCACAATCCCATCATCCATTCTCCTCTCAGGATTTCGAGCACACATGCCTGGCATGATTTTCCAAGCAACCAGGTCTGGGGCTTGAACCTGTCACCCATGTGAGAGTCTGGTGCCTTAACCATTACACCACCTGCTGGCCTCACCCTCTCATTTCTTTATATCATTTGTAGGTAAGTCTGCTTGCTTCTACACAACTTCAAGTTGTGATTTACTCACTGAGCACTTCTTATATCCTAGTCATCACACTTTACCCACATTACATTATACCGTAACGTATGTCTGACACACATTAACTCATACGATTTTTTTTTTTTGGAGAGGTTTTTGTCTTTTTCTCCTTTTTGCTATAGGGCACATGCACTCGCCAGAGAGACAGAGACAGAAAGCGAGAAATCACCCCCCAGGAGGGATGGCCACGCCTCAATCCCTTCTCTTCCATTCTCATCTCAGGATCTTGGGTGTGTACACACATGGTGCCTGGCATGAGTTTAAGCCACCGGGTCTGGGACTTGAACCATGGTCAACATGAGAGTCCAGCGATATAGTCATTATGCCAGCTGCTGGTCCCCCAATATAATTTTAACAGCCCTGTGATTATCCACCACTTAACAGATGAGGAAGCTAAAAGCAGAGAAGTGATTTGTTCAAGATCACACAAGTGGCAGACTTGAAGTACAAACCTGTCTTACTATCTGTACTTTTTAAAAAATAATATGCTAGAGGGTGGGTGTGTTCACCAGAGAGAAGAAAGCACCCCTTAGCAGGGATGGTCAGGCCATAATCCCTTCTCATCCATTCTCTTTTGATTTTTGGATGCACACAAATGCATCCATCCTGATTTTCAAGCCACCAGGTCCAGGAGTCAAACTACATGGTCACCTCCGTGGCATCCAGTCACTTCAATCACCACACAACCAGCTGGCCCCCAGTCTGTACTCTTAAAACACTATATTTGGCGCCAGCAGGCGACATGGTGGTTAGGGTGCTGGACTCCTGCATGGCCAACCATGGTTTGAGTTCCATGTGGGAGTGTCCAGCACTTTAATTACCATGCCACCTGCTGGTCCCCATCATTATTTTTTTTTAATTTGCTATAAGTCACATGGACTCACCAGAGAGAGAAAAGCCACCAGGTATGGATAAATAAAATAAATATTTTTTTAAAAAAGTATATGCTTAAGGGACCAGCAGATGGCGTAATTATTACATCGCTGGACTCCCACACAGTGAACTGTGGTTTGAGTCCTGAACCTGGCAGCTTAAACTCCATATATGTGTGCATGTCCAAGATCCTGAGAGGAGAATGGAGAAGGGATTATAGGATGGCCATCCCCCTTGCGGGGGTTATTCCTCACTTTCTGTTTCTCTCTCTCTTTCCAGCAAGCGTACGTACCCTACAGCAAAAACCTCTCTTTAAAAAAGTATGCTAAAAAAACAACAAAAAACACTGTATTTGACTCCCTGTTGGTAGAGGCTGGATTTTTTTGTTTTTGTTTTTTAAAGAATAATTTTATTTAACTTTATTTATTTTTAAAATTTGACCATGACGGACAGAGTGAGAGCAAGACAGAGAGAAAGAGGGAAACTGAGAAAGCAAGCTGCTAGGTCCAGGACTTGAACGGCAGTCAGCCATGTAGGGAGCCTGTTTACTTCTCAATGCTAAGCACACTGATTTGCACATAGTATATGCCAACAAAGTTGTTTTAATATATATATATATTTATATACATGTACATACACATACAGTCACATCCCAGATAACAATACCTTTCTTTTTAACCAGGAGAGCTCTACATTACCCTCCCAGCTCCTGGAGACTTACAGAGAGAGCCTAGCCTTGGCGGTCTTCACAGATAACACCTCGTAGTAGGGGCACTTTTATTGAAGTGGGAAGGGGCAGGGTGCAACCTGGGGTATACGCTGTCTGGGCCTCATGCAGGACCAGAGCTCTGTTGTACCCTCTTCATAAGCTCTTCATCCTGCATAGACAATTCTGTCAACTTTTTCCCCATTCTCTCATGGATGTCCAGGTACTTGGAGACACATCGGTCTAGGCACACAGATTCACCCTTGGACAGCTCTGCTTCCTTGTAGTGAGGAGGTACGCACTTCCGGTGGCAGGCACTGGTCATTCTAGAGGGAGAGAGGGGCAAGACTGTGTCAGCAGCAACCTGTGGCATCTCAGGAACCCTCAGCCACCCCGGCCCTGCTATACTCATTTCGCTTCCCCCAGGTAAGCAGTATAAATCCTTGGCTTGGGACCAGCAGTTAGCATAATGGCTATGTCGCTGGACTCCCATGTAGTCGACCGCAGTTCGCATCCCGGACCTGGTGGCTTAAAAACTCACGCCAGGCGCATGTGTGTGCGTGCCCAAGATCCCGCGAGGAGAATGGAAGAGAAGGGATTGTGGCATGGCCATCCCCCCTGGGGGGTGATTTCTCGCTTTCTGTCTCTCTGGTCTGTCTCTGGTGAGCGCATGCGCCCTATAGCAAAAAAACCATAAAAAAAAAAAAAAAAAAAAAAAAAAAAAAGAAATAAAAATAAATCCTTGGCTTATACTTCAAGCACTTGTTCAAGCCCATGTAAGGAGACTTCATAAAGTTCATGTAAGGGGCCAGCAGGTGGCATGGTAGTTAAAAGCACTGGACTCCCACATGGCCGAATGAGTTTCAAGTCCCAGACATGGTGGCTTGCTTTCTCACTTTCTCTCTCTGGTCAAATTAAAATAAATAAATAAATAAATTTATTTTTGAGACTTCATGAAAAATACGTATCGTGAAAAAAATTATGCATGAATTACAAAATTTTTTGCACCAAAATAAACTTGAACTTAAATTCTATTTTTTTCATAAAGTCCCCTCATATATAACTGATCAAACAGGAGCCATTTATTGAGTACTGGTTATGTGCCAGGTACCACACGAAGTGCTTCCTGACATGGATTCTACTAGACAATCCTTATCACAACCCTATGGGGGAGGCACAGTCACTTCCACACTGCACAGATGAAAACAATAAGATAGGGAGGTTCAGTAATTTGCTAAGGATCATGCAGAGCTGAGATATGAACCTCCAAGAGAAATCAACCAATCACGAGAGCTTAAGCTAATAAAGAGCAGACATTTGACTGTTTAATATGTGATGGGCTTGCTACTAAAGACTTTCATACTTTTTGGCAGCAAGCATGTGTGCTCACAGGAGAGACACAGAAAGGTAGAGTGAAAAAGCATCCCCAATGGGGGATGGTCACACAACAATCCCACCTCCATTTCTCCTTTTGGGATTCTGGGCATATACACACCTGCACCCGGCATGTTTTTCAAAACATCAAGTTGAGGATTTAAACTGCAAAGCTGGCCATGTGGAATCCAGCTGCTTTAACCACATCACTTGATGGCCCTCTTTCATACATTCTTAGATTTAGTATTTATAATATTCCTGTGAGGTAGATATTATTTCGACGCCCACTTTACAGATGTTTGACCAACTGTCAGTCTGAGTAAGTTGCCCAAAGCCATACTGCTGGTGCCTGGTGGAGCAAGGAATAGTTCCCCAATTTGTCAGGTGTGTGAGGTCCTAGTTCTGACACTGGTAATGGCCTGCTATAGACTCTGAGGAAGTTATTTAACTTCTAGAAGTCTCTATACCCTCATCTTAAAATAAGACTGATAAAATTAACCCTCTGAACTACTTTTTTAATTTTTTTAATTTAACTTTATTTTAATTTAACCAGAGAGGGACAGAGTGAGAGAGAGAGAGCAGGGAGGAGGGGGTGTGGGAGGTGGGTAGGGAGGGAGTGAGAAAGCAAGCTGCCAGGCCCAAGACTGAAACTGTGGTTGGTCATGTGGGAGTCCAGTGCCCTTAACCACCACACCACCTGCCGGCGCCCCTACATTACTCTGAAGATTGAAAAAAAAATGATAATGCATGCAAAATCCTCAGCAAGTGTCTGACAATTAAGTATTGAGAAATATTTCCTGCGGGGAACAGCAGATGGCATGATGGCTACGTTGCTGGACTCCCATGTAGTCGACTGCAGTTCAGGTCCCAGACCCAGTGGCTTAAACTCATGCCAGGAGTGTATGCATGCATGCCCAAGATCCCAAGAGGAGAATGGAGGGGAAGGGACTGAGGCGTGGCCATCCCCCTGGGGGGTGATTTCTCTCTCTCTCTGTCTGTCTGGTGAGCGCAAGCACCCTATAGCAAAAACCTCTCCAAAAAAAAGGAAATACTTACTATGCCAACTGGTGGTTAAGGTGGCTGAATTCTACATGGCTGACTGTGCAGTTCAAGTTCCAGACCTAGTGGCTTGAGAAACACCCCTCCAGCGTGTGTGTATCAAAAAATCCTAAAAAAATAGAGAAGGGACTGCAGCGTGAACATGCAGTCTCACTTTATTGTTTCTGTCTCTCTCTGGTGAGAGCATGTGCTCTATAGGTAAATTAAAAACAGGGGCTGGCAGGTGGTGGGGTGGTTAAAGGTGCTGGATTCCTACATGGCCGACTATGGTTCGAGTCCTGGACCTGGCAGCGCGCTCTCTCACTCTCACTCTGCCTCTCTCTGGTCAAATTGAAATAAACAAATGAATAAATAAATAAAGTTAAATAAAATAATTTTTGAAAATTAAAAACAGATCATTATTACTAAACTTAAAAAACATTAATTACTGAATGAGTTACTGCTAGTTGTCAAAAGGCAAGTGCTTAACCAGTCTTGGACCCTGACATGAGCCTGGACTGAAGCTTCAGTTCTCACGACCCCAAACTACCTCTGCATGAACACCAACCATGGGGGTGAGCGTGGGGAGAATGGGCCTGGGCCTCAGGAAGGCAGCTGTCAGACGGCATCCACCTCCCCCTTCGATCAAGGCGACCAAGGCTACTTTTCCAGGAAGGGGTGGCGCGGCGTCGGTCTCCTTACCTGTTGTACATATCGGCCATCATCTCCACCTCCAGCTCGGCCGCCAGCTGCTGGGCCCGCAGAGGATCCATCTCGGCCAGGCACGGCGGAGGGGGTCTCCTGGGGGCCTCCTAGTCCTGGGGACCGACATCGCCGTCAGCAGCCGCGCCTCCCGCTCACCCTCCTACCCCCGGGGCTAGGGACGCTGCGGGGCTAACTGGCCTCAGACCGCCGGGGTCTCCGGTGACCTTACTCACCCCTTCACAGACGGGGACACTGAGACCCGCGGGGGCACTGCCTAGCCCAAGGTCACACAATGTCAATGGAGGGCCTGACAATCGAGCCCCGCGGCCCCAGTCCCTCCAGGTCACCTCTCTCCGGAAGATCGACAGCCGAACACCAAACCGCGGGCCCGAACCTTCGGAACCCTGGGAACTGCGTCAACGCCCAGCCCGACGGCTGCGCCGCCGAAGTGGCGACACCACCATCCCAATCTCCTTGCGATTACAGGGCACGAGTCACTCACCAGTCCGGGGCCCTCAGCGTCCCCAACGTCAGGCAAACAGAACGACCCTGCCGGGCGTCCAGGCGCGCTGAAACGGAAGCACGTGAGGCACTTCCGGGAGGGAAGTCCCGCCTCTAATCCAGACTCGCTTCCGGAATGAAGTGCCCGGGAAACCGGCTACCATAGAGAGGGAGCGGTCGGCCCCGCCGGGAGGGAAGGCGACCTCCAAAGGCTAGAGGGGCACCAAGATACCATAGAGGCTGCCGCGGTGCGGCAGAGCGCCTGCAGCCCGAGGAGAACTCCGTCTGTTGGTGTTTCTGGGAGTTTTGAGTTTACTGCTTCTGTACGGAAGGGCCTGAAGACATGTCAGGAAGCGCATCACGCCCGGAAAAGCGGATGCCTCTGATGTGGGGAAGAACGCCCCCAAATAGCGGCGTTCTTTTTGGGAAAGTTTTTTGCTATAGGGCGCATGCGGTCGCCAGACAGAGAGACAGCGAGAAATCACCCGCCAGGGGGGATGGTCACGCCGCAATCCCTTCTCCTCCATTCTCCTCTCGGGATCTTGGGCACGCACGCACACGCGCCCGGCGTGAGTTTAAGCCACCGGGTCCGGAACGAACCGCAGTCGACTACGTGGGAATCCAGCGACATAGCCATTACGCCAACTGCTGGTCCCCAAATAGCGGTTCTTAATTGTTGCATATTAAAACTACCTGACCCCCTGCCTCCGTATTAGCTACTGAACTGCATGCAGTGCTGGGAGCCAGGTGGCCTACCCTTGCGGCTCGGGGCCGGAAACATGCCAGTGTGCTTAAAATCCGATGACTCGCCGGAGATCGTGGCCGGACCAGGCTTGGCTGAGGGTGCTTCTCTCTTCTCTCTCCCACACCCTAACATGAATAAACTAAACTAAATACTACTAATAACCGGGATGCTTTAAAATCTCTATGCCCAGGCTTTCCTTCTTTCCAATTAAATCAGATCTCTGGGAGTAGGACTTGGGTAATTTAAACTCCCCAGGTGATTCCTGTGTGCAGCCAAATCTGAGAACCACTCCACAGGGTGTTGTGCAATTACTGCGGGGTGTAAATCATTAATCCCCTTCTGGGATGGCAAAAATAAGCTAGAGGGAAGAGGAGACATGTATGTAGGGTCTTTTATTCAACCTCTGTTAGATACCCTGAACCTCAAACAGTTGAATAGGAGCAACTTCCGCTGCCACCAGAGCAATCCCGTGCACCGAGTGAGGAAGGAAGGTTCTGTTGAACTCATTATTTTGCAAGACTTACCGTGTTCCTCAGTCTGCACACTCTGCCCTCTGCTCCAAAAAGAAACAATCCTCAATTCCTTGATGTTTTCCACACAATTTTCCAGTAAACTAAATTTACAAGATGTAAATTATGTGAGGATACCTTGCTTGTTGGAGAAGGGGGAATAGACATTTTCTATGTATGGTCATCATATGCTTCCCTGGGTGTCCAAGACAGTCCTGATTTTAAACACCCCCATTACTGCTCCAAAGACTCATTTTTGTCAAACCCTTTGCCCTTTTTATTTAAAGAATTATTTACTTTTATTTAATATTATTATTACTATTATATTTGTTATAGGGCACGCATGCTCACCAAAGATAGAAGAAAAGTGAGAAAGCAAGCCACCAGGTGCATGACTCGAACTGCAGTTGGCCATGTGGGAGTCCAGTGCCTTAACCACTCCTGGTCCCCTGCCCTGATTTTTTAAGATTGAGATATAGCAAACAGTAACGTGCGTAAAATATGTGAATCTTTTTTTTTAAGTTTTTGCCTTAGGGCATGTGCATTTGCTGGAGAGAGGTAGAGAGGGAAAGTGAGAAATCGCCCCCAGGGAGTTTGCCACACTACGATCCCTTGTCCTCTCCTTTCTGGCATGATTTTCAAGTCACCAGGTCTGAGACTCAAACTGCAGCTGGCCATGTAAGAATACAACACCTTACCCCCCAAGCTGCGTGCTGGCCCCAAAAGATATAAACCTTGAGCTTAAATATATAATAATCTCACTTTATCCATATATGTTCCAAAACCCCTACTAAATGCCTGAAATCACTCATAGTACTGGATCGTATATATGGTATGTTTTTTCCTATACATGCATACCCATGATATGTTTTAATTAATCAGACAGAGTAAGAGATTAACTACAACTACTAAAATAGAACAATTATAACAATATGCTGTAATAAAAGTTACATGAATATTTTTCTCTCCAAATAGCTTATACTGTACTCACACCAGTTTTCAAACTGCTGTTGAGTGTGGATTACTGAAAGTACAGGAAGTGTGACACTGCAGATAAAGGGGGACTCCTGACAACCATTCACGGAACCACCATCCAGCGAAAGATAAAATACTTCCCACACTCCAGAAAGTTACCTCGTGTTCTTTCTCAGTCAACACCCCCTCTTAGAAATTAATCACTGTTCTTTTCTTTTTTAAGAATTATTTTATTTAACTTTATTGATTTATTTAAATGTGACCAGAAAGGGACAGAGAGAGAGAGAGAGAAGGAAAGTGAGAAAGCAAGCCGCCAGCTCCAAGACTCAAACTGCAGTTAGCCATGTGGGAGTCCAGCACCCTTAACCACTATGCCACCCTGGCCCCTGAAGTTAACCACTATTCTGACTTCTATCACTGTCAATTAATTTTCCCTGTTCTTGAACTTCGTATGAATGGAATTATATATTACTTTCTGTGCCTGCCTTCCTTAGCTCAACATAGCGAGTGTGACACTGTTCATATTTTTGGGTCTCCTATTTATTCTTTTCTATTGCTGTCTGATGTTTGATTGCATGAATATATCACAATTCACTTATCCATTTTTCTGTTGGTGGAAATTTGAGTTGATAGATATTTGGTTATCATGACTAATAACTGCTATAATGTTATAGTACAGATGTTACCATCATGCTAAAAAAAAAAAAAAAAGGTAACTAAATCACCTAGCCCCTGCTAGATACTCAAAAAAAAAATCATTGTTATAATTCTTTTTTCTTTTTTTTGGAGAGGTTTTTGCTATAGGGCACATGCACTCGCCAGACAGACAGAGACATAGAGACAGAAAGCAAGAAATCGCCCCCCAGGGGGGGGTGGTCACGCTGCAATCCCTTCTCCTCCATTCTCCTCTCGGGATCTTGGGCATGCACACACAAGCGCCCGGCGTGAGTTTTAAGCCACCGGGTCCGGGACACGAACCATGGTCGACTATGTGGGAGTCCAGCAACATAGCCATTATGCTAACTGCTGGTTCCTGTTATAATTCTTTTTTTATTTTTAAACTTTTATCAGGGCAAATTTAAAACATACAGAAGAGTAGAAAGCACAGCATATTGAACTTCCAGGGGCCAGCAGGTGGTGTGGTGGATAAGGGTGCTGGACTCTCACACGGCCAGCCATGATTTCAGTCCTGGACCTGGCAGCTTGCTTTCTCACTTTCTCTCTCTAAAGCTTGCTTTCTCTCTCTCTCTCTCTCTCTCTCTCTCTCTCTCTCTCTCTATTCCTCTCTGGTGAGCATGTATGCCCTATAGCAAATTTAAAATAATAATATAATAAATAAAATAAAAATAAATATTTTAAAAGAATATCCAAATATCCATCACCAGGAATTAAGAATTGTCAACATTTGGGGCCAGTAGGCTGCGTGATGCTTAAGGATGTTGGACTCCCACATGGTAGACTGCAGTTTGAGTCCCAGACCTGGTGGCTTGCTTTCTCACTTTCCCTCCCTCTCTCTCACTCTCTCTCTCTCTCTTTCACTCTGTCCCTCTCTGGTCAAAATAAAAATAAATAATTAAAAATAAGAATAATTCTTTAAAAAAGAATTGTCAACATTGGCATAGTTTCTTTTTTTAAATAATTATTTTATCTTCTTCTTATTATTATTTAATTTGCTCAGAGAAAGACAAAGAGTAAGAGAAAGTGAGAAAACAAGCCATCAGGTCCCAGATGTGAACAAGGGTCAGCCATGTGAGAGTCCAGCACCTTAACCACCACGCCACCTGCTGGCCCCCTGGTATAGATTCTTTATCTGTGTTTTGTTCATTGCCAGAGGAAAGGAAAGAGAGAAAGCAACCTCCCAATGGGGCATGGTCACAACACAGTTCCTCCTCCATTTCTTCATCCTGTCCACACTTTGGTCATGCACATGTGCCTGGCATGTTTTTTCAAGATGTTAGGGCTAGGATTCAAACCACAGCTGGCCGTGAGGGATCCAGCACCCTTAACCACCAGAATTTGATCTGTCCCCTTCTATTGGGTTTTTGGGAAAGTCATGATGCTTTTTTGCATAGAAAAACAGAAAAATATGTCATGACTTTCCCGACAACCTACATTTTTAAAAAGGAATTAAAAAATTATATCTATCATTATTATTATCTTTTCATTTGCAACAGAGCATGTATGATCACCCAAGAGAGAGAGAAAGTGAGAGAGCAAGCTACCAGGTCTGGGACATGAACCGCAATTGGCCATGTGGGAGTCCAGCGCCTTAACCAACAAGCCACTTGCTCGCCTCAGCCCCATCTCTTTTTTTTTTT